CGATTGCCAGCCAACCAAATTTTGGGGCGATGCGACGAGTCTTCAATTTTTCAAACGTGCGGCAGTGATGTTGGACGTCGGAGGCAGAGGTGAGGTCATCCCTGCCTATCAGAAAATTGTAAACGTCTTCCGCTATGCCTTTCAAGAGGTGTCCGACCATGTCTTCTTCAGGCATCTACGGGTTTATAATCTTGCAATGCTTAAGAACGTCCTCTATGTAAGCAGTGCACGTTTCTCCAGGAGTCTGGGCTCTTCCAGCAAGAGCCCGCTCTGCGCTTTTCTTTTTTGAGTCGCAGTCACCAAAACACTTCTTCAGTTCTTCAGAAAAAAGAGCCCATGTTGTCAAGGACTCTTCATCGTTTTCATACCACATCAGGGCAGTGTCTGTGAGAAACAGCGCGACGTTTTCCAGCTGATCGATAGAGTTTCAGTGGTTGTACCGGCTCACCCTTTTGTAGTGCGTTAGCCACGCGTCCATATCTTCTCCTGCCATTCCCGCAAACGGGCGGGGTTCCATGTCGTGATGACTAGGTGTAGCCAGCGTAGACGTTCGCGAAGTCGAGGCAGTTGATTCCTGACCTTCGCTCTGGGCTATGACGACTGTTGTCGGCGGCAGACCGGCAAGACGACGGCTCCGGCGAACTCCAAACAGCTGTGGCTCCGTGGTACGTCGACGTGCCGTACCCAGCACCTCCACCACTCTGTTACGTCTACGAGAGGAGTTTATTCAGAGCCGACGTAACGGTCGACTCGACGGTATACAGTAGTGAACGCGCACCAGCGAGCTTGCTTGCTTGTTCCTTTCTTTTGTGGCTCTCGTCCACTAAGGGGGATTGGCCAAGAAGCCGGTGGTTAATGCAAGTCAATACTTTTAGGTTTTCTAGACTAGGGGATATGATTACTGTGTTTTGACTGTTAAAATAATTTGGCGCAATGTAAAACAAGGAAAAAAGGGGGGAGAGAACTAATACAATTCGTTGAATATCTGAGGTGAAATCGTTATAAGAATTCCTCCTGAAAGTTGAATCATTGCAGTGTATCAGCTAAATAATAAGTGGTAGTGTGGCTAGTAAAATTCGAGAGCTGATCGCTGACTCAGCAAGGTAATCTTCTTGTGTTATATAAGAATTCGCAGAGAGCCCGGCAGATGTTCCTGTCGCTGTGTCCCAATGAAGTGGCCCCAAAAGACAAAATATTGGGAGTATGAAGTGGTATTCCTAGTTTTCTGAATAAAAATTCGAAGCAGTTTTTTCTTTGATTTTTGAAACGGTGACATGTGATAAGAAAACTGTCGAAATGTTCAGGTTCGTTACAGCTTGAGCACAGAGGGGATGGCACCAGACCAGGACCTGTTTAAGTAGAATTTAGGAGGTGGTACACGGCAACGTATTTTGTTATGAAGACTTCCAATTTACGCGTGGGACATCATTTTATATTCTAAGTGAAGGGCAGGTGCGAGAAATCTGGATTCATTATCATGATTTTTGATGAATCTTCAAGAAGGGAAAGTTTTCTAAACCTCGCTGCTGTTACATAAGCTGTAGGAGGCATGATTGGCACAATCGGAAGATCCAGAGATGTTCACGCAAGTGTGTCAGCCATGTCGTTTATAAATATACTACGATGGCCTGGTACCCATATCATTGGCACTAGCACCAGCGAGCTCTTGCCATTAACCGAACGTTCTCTTGTTCTGCCACCACCATGCTCCCAGCTACACAGGTGCACATACCTAAATTACACATGTGGTAACAATATACTGGCAGACTTGGTGCAGTTAGGTTGTATACGAGGGACTATTGGTCAGCTACCCGCGCGTAATAGGTTTACGTGCTACATGACGCCACACAGGCTCATAAAAGGGTGTTCCACACTCGCCGCTTGGCTACAGATGGCGCTGACTGACACTCCCACGTTTAAATTCACAGGGAACGTCGCTGTGATAGCTCAGTGGTTAGAGCATCGTACGCGTTATTGGAAGGTCATACGTTCGATTCCTGCTCATGGCAGGCTAATGTTTCACTCACTTTTCTTCTTATATACATTACATTGGTTCTACTAACTTCCCATAATTATTCCTTGGCATGATTGTCTGTTAGGTCTTATTAATCATGTGTGAAAAGTTGGAAAAACGAGCCCTTAGGTATACACTTCTTTCTTATATATATATATATATATATATATATATATATATATATATATATATATATATATATATATATATATATATATATTGAGAGTAAGATATCAATGGGCCATTTAGTATTTGTGAAGGTATGGGATATGACACAACGCTAGCTCTGTCAACAAGGATAAATATATTTTCTTCCCTACAGTTTCTGGAGAGGTCCCCCTTTTTCAGGGGATGAGTTTTACTAACAACGACGTTCAAACTTCGTGGCTCGCACGTCACCCTCGCCTAGAAAGCATGTTTGCGAGAGTGAGAGAGAACTAAAAAAACAAACAAAAACAAACAAAAAACAAATAAAAAAGAAACAAACAAACAAAACACTGTGAACGCTGAGCACGAAACCAGACTGTGCACATCCAAATGTCGGTGTAAGTCCACATCCGGTTCTCATCCTGTGCTGGCCAGTAGTCAACGTGTGTCGGGCCACCCAAGATTGTCGCCGTGGTGGCGGGAGGGGCCCGCGACGGCTTGCGTTAGGAAAGAGTGTCCCCTTAATAGGTCGGTCGGCTCTTTACCTTTCATCTTCGCCCATTTCCGCTTAACGGCCATCAAGTGGAAGGCGAGCATAAACACTTTGTATGCACACGTGACGAAAAAGTATATATAACAAAAAGGAAAAAGAAAAGAAAAAACCCAGAAAGAACATTGTACACGTACGAGTCAGTAAGAAAAAACAAGCATGGTCTCGAGCTATGAGTCTTTGGCACCAATTTCCTCCTGGCTTACTTCTTGTAGACAGAAGAGTCTTCTGGGGCTCTCGTGGATGCCGGCTACTAATGTTCTAAATTTTCAAATGAAATATACATCACGCTGTTCGCGCTGGCGCCTGTTTGAGAAAGCGGACTGTAAAAGAGTTAAACTGATATTTTTCAAACTGTGGTTTGGCAGGCGCAGATGTCTAGATAAAGGTAGCTTCGGCAGTGAAGTGGCGTGGTACCGGTGATTATTGAACCACTGCCGACATGGCGTGTCTGTTTGGCCGATACAGTCTTGTCTACAGATGTTGCAATGTAGCATGTATACTACGTTACTGGAGGACACAATTAAGGTTTACAGTTGTGCAGAATTTGAAATCCGAGAAGTTCGCGTTTGATTCACGTGTTGTGACCATCTGTGGGCATACCTTGCAATGAGCTTTTTCGCAGGGATGGAACCATGATTGAATTTTGTAGGGGTTTGTTTTTGCTCTGAGAAGAATGTCCTTCAGGTTTTTACTCCTGTGGTACGCCACGTGAGATAGCTTCGCTAAAATTGAAGCTAATCGTTTGCTTTGCCTAATTATGTTGAAATGGCGGGAAAGTATGTTGTTGATTCGTGGCACTGATGAGAAGTAAGTTACTATTTTACTCTTCATTATATACTTACTCATATATATATATATATATATATATATATATATATATATATATATATGTATGTATATATATATATATATATGTATATATAGAGAGAGAGAGGGAGAGAGAGAGAAATATATATTTTAGAATATCCTTGTATTCGTAGCCTGCATAGTGTGCATGCATATATCTGCGTTAAATATACTCTTGCACACATGAACAAACCTGTGTTCTGAAGTAGGTGGCCTTATTCATTAGAAGCCTGATAACACGGATCGGGAACGAAAAAGAAACAGCATTCCTATTACAATCAAAAGTATGAATTTCCTTGTCTCAAGATACACTGGCCTAGGCATAACTCTGTTCTCTAGCCAAGTGATAAACATGCGTCTGCACAGCTTTTGACTGGGCAACAGAACCTAATGGAATACATGCAATCGGCAGCACAAGTTGCAGCGTGTAGTTACTTTGAAAACTGTTAAGGCTTTCCCTGTAAATATGTTCCAATGCAGCAACGCAGGGCTAATTTATTAGAACCTTCGGGGAGGCCCACAATGCATGAGCCGTTGCCTTACTCAACCTCGGGCTTGTTAGGCAGGTCCTTCAACTTGTAGTAAATGTTTACTGGTTTACCGAAGAGGCTCGATGTTTGCGCGCCCAGCACCAGTGTTTCCACATGTTTTTCGATGAAAATACTTTACGCCTAAGAAAAAGAGGCGGCCCGCAGCCAGCTATTTGACAAAGCAACGCCATCCTAGTCCCCCTCATAAAACTCCAGCACAGTGCCAAGTAAAAGGGCCGCGTTGACGCTGTTAGGTGCGACCATTTTTTTATAGACCAGTGTCACCAGAACACAAAGCGTTTTCTGGAGTTGGGAATAGCCATAAAGAACGGGAAGTGGGGAGTAGTATTTCTACTGTTCATCTTTTTTAGCCCAGAACCACACACTCAACTTTCACTGAACTCCATTAAATACTTACCAAGTATTCGGGATGGGTGACGATGGTCATGTATGAAATAAAATTAAAATCTGCAATTATATCATAGTGACCTTTGTGCGCTTCCACATGATTTACCGAATATTCACGGCGCATCTGCGTGTGTTCAGTGAAGCAATATGCACATTTTATCTTTTACGTCTATTGAAGCTCAGTCGAAGTCTGGCGGTTTTGCTGTCTCTATTTCGGCGTCTTCGTGCGTGGTCACTAGTAATGTGGAAGCATACAGTCAATACCAACTAGCCAAATTAAATAAGTTATGATGTTTTAATGATTTAACTGACTGACCAAGTGCGCCTCTCACTGCCTTAAAGTTAGTGACTCGCACTGTGCACAAATATAAATGAATAGTGCACCAAAAACTGACTTTAGTAGATCACAAATTGTTTTCAGATAATATTTATGAAAGTTGAAATATTCAAGCCTCTTCAATATTCTTAATAGTTATATAAGGATGCGAGAATGACGAGTTACCTGTGCCATTGTCTTGTACCAGCGAATGGTGTACACTCAAGCAGACTGCGGTAACACTGCGCCGGACCAGGTTGGCGTCTCTAAAGCTTACGACTACAGATAAACAAAGAAAAGGTTTTGTTACACAGGTGCGCGACGCTCCAATTTTCGATTCCCAATGCAGCGGGTCTGAGCGGATGAGCTGGGTTGATTGAGCCTCGCAACGGTTACCAATATAGGCCCGCGACAAAGAGCAGAGCGCACATCCGGTCTGGGCGGGAAAAAGAAAAACAAGTAATGAACATTTGTACTTTGTGCAGCTGTAGGCGTGGAAAACGCGTGGCGCGGATGGCGTTTCGGGACACTGTAAAAAGATGCGCAAGGGTACATATTCTGCCCGTTTAGATGACCAGTTTTTTACCTGAGCTGAAATAGCAGTCCGCAATTAAAAAATGCTATTTCACAATGCCAAAAATTTTATAAACGACATTGATAGGTGCATTTATTGTCTCCTACGCAATGCTGTGATACAACCGCTCAAGGAAAGTGCACACAATCCTCAGTTCCGAATACACAAGCTCGCAAGGTGATTCGTGTATTGTGTCATCTTTTCTGCAAAGCGTTCGCGCTTGATCAAGCACGTGCCTGTCATGATTGACTGTTTCGTAAGAGCACGTGTATGGGGTGTATTTCAACGACAAAAGCATCTTCGTCATTAAGTAGCTGTGCCTGGAGTGCGTATGCTGGAATGAGTCACAAGACACTGATGCGTACGTGCCATAAACTTTGACGAGCTTCGTCTACCACACTCTCATTTTCTGAATATTAGTGCCAAGCCGGATGAAGGCAAACCTGGCCGGCCACGCTCTTCAAAATGTTCTCTGATAATCAGAGAACACGTCGCGTTTGTCCGTAGCGGTCGTGGTGCGAGACGGCTGACACGCAGGCACGGAATTGAACTCTGGCCATTGTGGCTGCATTTTCGATGAGGGCGAAAGTGCTTGAGGTCCGTGTACTTAGATTTAGGTTCAAAATAATGACGCTAGTTTCTCGAAATTTCTGGAGCCTTCCACTGCTATGGCTTCCATCATAAATGTATCGTTGTTTCTGTTCTTCAAAACGTGGCTATCATTTTCTTCCTTATAAGAATAACACATATCCAAGTAAAAAAAACCGACAAAGCACCACTGTCGGCCTAAAAAAACTACTACAAGTTTGCAAAGAAATGTCCCCTGCCCAATAAACATGCTGTCGCTGCAACGTCGGTTACGGCTAACGGTCCGATGAAGGTATATTTGCTGACCCCGATAAAGGAACGTCTCGGTGCTTGCTTGCTGACTCTCGAGACAGACAAACTTGCCTCTGGTACAATAAGATTCTCATATCTGCATCACCGACAACGATGAATTCACTGTTCGCATCGAAGCTTTTCACTGCGTAGCTCTCCGACACCGACAACGTAGCAGACAGCGACCGAGCGGACGTTGCAAATGGCGCCCGCTAATAGACGGGGCTGTGTATTCAACTCGTATGCTGCGTTCATGGAAGCTTTAGTGAACCCAAAACAGAAAGTATTTGATACATCAATAGCTCTTAAAAGATCGCTGCAAGCTTAAGCGTGCAGTGCTTCCTTCAGGGTGACGAAGGTTCGTCGCAGATGAAACAGGCTTATTTCCCTCCCCCGCCCCCTTGTGCGTGATACTAAACCTATGTTAATAAGCGATTGGTGAAATTTTTTTATGGCCCATGCGCGTCCCGTTTCTGGTTTCACGCTCGAGCATTTTCCTGCTTCAACACATTTAGAAGAGTGACACTACGCGGCCCTGCGCAAATGCGCACCAAACTAAACTGGCATGCTGCGGTCGGTCGCCTAATTTGTGCAACGACATCCAAGATCCAATTTAGGGTAGTATAAAAGGGAACCTCTGAATTTAGGTGCGGCAACTCGAAATTTTTGTAACGAAGACCATTTACTCACAAAGGTTTATAAATACTAATATGGAACCGAAATAGAGGGTTCGTGGGAATAGCATAGCAGGCATGTTCTTACGCAGTCGGATATTTCACTCTAAGGCAAAATTACCTGGAAAGAGTTACGGAGCCCAATAGGCGCGCGCGATAAAGGGATAGACCATCGAGGAGCAACCACAGAGGGAAGCGAGCCGGGTGCAAAACACTTAGTGTCCAAGAACGCTCCCAAGAGATGAACCACCCGGTTAATGAAGGCAGTGCGCAAAGCGTTGCCAAGGTCACTAGCCGTCCTCCTTCTCTCCTGGTTCAGTATTTCTCCGTATTTTGCTGGCGACGGTTCGCATTGCGTCGCGGTCGGAGTGCTCGACCACGGCCGCCTGTACGACGCGGTGCTTGTGTGTATGCTTGGATGAGCGCGGGCTGCTGCTTTTACGTTTCGCTGCACATGAAGTCTGGAGCAAGTCTCGACACGTCACCACGCCGTACTGTATATCTCTGACTTCAAGAGAGTCACGACCAACACACGACAGCAAGAGTTAGGAAGGCCAACAGGGCGACCGAGAAGACAGTAGGCCTATCGCATATATACCTAAGTCTGACTCAGGGCAGAAATCAGTGCTGCATTTTTTCGCAAGTACGTTATCAGTCTTTATTCAGCTTTACTTGTCGGGTGTGTGACACGGATCGCGCTTGCCTGCAATGGGCTCGTCGTGTTGTGTATCACACGCAAGAAATGCATCGCGAAGGTCAGCTTGGGCGTCAGCAGTCCACCTGTGCTTTGCGACCGCCTGGAAACTAGCCGCCATCGCCGTCGGCCTCCCGTACGATCGCTCATCGATTCGATACTCGCCTGTCTTCGCCACCGCAATGAGCTCCAGGCTGACGATATTGGGCTGACACCTCGCCGCTGTGTTGGGAGTCGTCGAAAACATATTGCGGGTTCTGGTAACAAGCTTGCTGGAGTACGGCACGTGCTGTAGGTGCACCGGCACGTGCTGGCGGGGCTTTCGCTAGCGTATGAACTCAATAAAAATTGGTCGCTATTACAGTTGGCTTTCCTGTCAGTCGGTTGCAAGCAGCTCGGTGCCGTCCGTTTGCGCGCTGCACTCGCTCGTGTTTGTGGAAAAGGGCCGCATTACTGTCCATTTTTTCGGCACTAGCTCCGAACCAACTTGGCGCTGTACGTAGCGGCGGCCAAGCGTACGCTCGCTCTCGTGTTCGAAGTACGCTGGTGGCAGGCAGTCCGCGTGCAGCACGATGTTTGGTCTCACGTTCGCTTGCTCGAGCTGAACGACGTCACTTGCGTAGGACTCACCAACTTGTTGGTGGCACGGTGGCTCGCAGGGTTGTGGCTGTGGCCGCTGCTTCTAATGTGTTGCGCTACAGGGATCGAAATGAGTCTGTGATTATGTGTGACATCACAGTGAAATTATTAGCATGTCATATCTCACGTACGTTTTTATTTGACCTTGCACGTATTCCTCATATGAATTCGTAGTCATCCTTTTTCGCTTGTGACTCACTATTTCACCTACTTATATTGCAGCCATGGGCACACACTGTGCTGAAGGCTGCGTGCGCTGGCGTCTTCGATGCCTGTCATTCATCTCTTCCGTCAGAGCAGCTTAAGAATAACGGTGCGATATGTGAACGTAAAGTTATTTGTGTGCCATATTTTACACGCATGTTTTTATATTCACTTGCACGTACTTGTCATATGCGTGCATCATCTTCTGTCACGTGTGTCTAACTATTTTTAATTTCTTATTGTAGGTACAGCCGTGGTAACACAACAGGCAGAAGGCTGCATGCGCTGGCGTTCGCAGTGCCTGTCATCCACCGCTTCCATCGGAGGAGCTACACAAGGAGTAAACAAGATGTGACAACGACGCCGGACTTGTATGCTTCACCATGAATTCACTTTAATGAATTGAGAAACCTCATGTGTATGTAGAAAAATAAAAAATTTCGATGTCTCACTTCTGTCTTTCGTTGTTGCCATGATTGCGAAAGCAGTTACACATAGTTGGCTAACTACTTTTTCGCGTGTTCTTTTCTGCGCTATTTGTTACTCACTGCGCAGAAAAATAGGCGTAAAAAGTATTAGGCCTTGCGAAAAATAAACAAAAAACAATGTTTGAACTGGGGATAAAAAGTTCATCTGATTGGAATATTTGAGTGGATCAACCGTTCGTCCGGCGAGATGCAACTGTGAGGACTAATGGTTGCCCGGTAAGGTGTACTTGTGGAGATGAACAGTTGCTCTGTAAGGTGCGAATGCGAGGACTAAATGTTAGTCCTTTGAGCTGAATTGTGGGAATAGCGGGTACTCACTAAGGTGTGAATGTTAGTTCCTTGAGCTCATCTGAGGGGACTAACTGCTACACCCGGTGCCGTTAGTCCTCAAAAAGAATAACGGTTGTGGCAGCCCCATTAGTCACCAAAAGGACGAACCACACACCTTTTAACACCCTTTCTCCTTAAAATGTCCTGTGCACTGTGCAGCTGCAGCACTCGTCCTTTCGCGCACCACCCTTTCTTTCGTTTTTGCACAATCCCCCCCCCCGCGTGTTTTCGTATCAAATCCCAGAAGATGCATAGCGAAAATGCAGAGCCGCTATAGGCTGAAGGCAATCACATGCTATAAATGCCCTTCCGGTCTTTTTTGTTTGTTTCGATCAAGATGGCGGCGCGCATCGACGCTGGCGTAACGCTAGTTTTGCCGATAGTTGCAGCGCGAGAACAGAACGGCGACAGAGAGACAAGAAGAACAAGAAGCTTCTAGTCTCTTCGTCGTTTTGTTCTCGTGCTATAACTATTGTCATGTCATAACAACTAGCCGAAGCTGCCACACTTTAAGCTAGTTTCCAATACGCCAGTGAGGCTTGGTGAAGCTGTACACTGTAGAAATTACACCGACACGTATAGGCTTTTCGCCGACGGTGACGCTGAAACAAGTTGTGTTCTTACGCAGCTGGTTAGCTCCGATTTTTTTTATTTATAACACTTTCGTTAAGGCTGCTGGCCGGCTAAAAAGACGTGCCACTTGAACTACTCCGCATATAAGCTGTTCTGAGGTAAGTGGGTTTGTAACACCTGTTGAATTTGCGCTGGGGTTCTCTGTGATCCGCGCGTAAACTAACACGCTGTGGTTCTCTGTGATCCGCGCGTGAACTAAGACGAAACTAACTTGTTTCAATGTTAGTTG